GGGGGGAGGGTTGGTGCGGGTGCGTCTGGCCTCGGGCGCCGCCGGCAGAAAACGAGGAGCGGGGAGGGGAACGGTGCTGCACGCCGCCCGGCAGCGGGGAGGGCCGCCCGGCAGCGGGGAGGGCGGGTGTGCTGCCCGAGCTGGCAGAGGGCATGTGAGGAAAGGCTGCGTGCGCGCTGCCGGCTTTCCGTTCCGATTGTTTGTGATTTCTGCTTCACCGCTGAAAGGGCCCGACTCCACCTGCAGGCTCGGGGCGGTGGAGGCAACTTCATCTCGGTGTTACTTGGTTGCCCCTGCATACGTGAAGCCGTGTGAGAGAACAGTGGGCTGCCTAGGGCAGCAGATTCGTTTGGGAATTAAAGCGTGCTTTCTGTTGGACAGGAGGCTGCAGCGAGGTGGGGGTCGGCCTCTTCTCCCAGGTAGCGGGCGCTAGGACGAGGGGAAATGGCCTCAAGTTGCACCAGGGCAGGTTTAGGTTGGACACTAGGAAAAAACTTTTCACCAAAAGGGTTGTCAAGCGTTGGAACGGGCTGCCCAGGGAAGTGGTCAAATCCCCATCCCTGGAGGTATTTAAGACTGGTAGGTGAGATGTTTAGGGATGTGGTTTAGTGTGGGATGGCAGGGTTAGGTTAACAGTTGGACTTGATGATCTTGGAGGTCTTTTCCAACCTAAACCATTCTATGAAAGTCTAGAGGCGTTTATATTTGGTGGGGAGTGAATAAGGAATGGCCTTGTGTGTTCAAGCTATTTGCTGTCTAGTGTACCATTTATTTAGTTGGGTGTCAGATTCCAGCAGAGAACCTGCTTTGGGTCATACTTTTTCTGGCAGAAAAATGTGGCATACAACAGCCATTAAGGCACGAGTAAGTAAAAAGGGTTAATTTTTCCCATAAATTCTTTTTTAGGTCTTACTTCTTCTATGTAGGTTGTGTTCGTGCCCTGCATTACCAGCAGGTTGGCTGGCTGCCTCCAGTGAGATTTTGTGTGGTAACTCATCAGGTGGAAATCTGCTGTGGGTACAAGCAGTGTGGCTCATCTCTGGTGAGGGAGCCAGCTGGCCTGATCTGGTGTGTTCGTATGATTGGAGTCAGGTGGATCCAAATAAATGTAACTGCAGAACAAGTTAGAAGGCAGCACTGATGTGGTGAAAAAGATAATTTAAATTCAGGCCATCCTTTAATGGTAGTGACATCCTCATATATGCTTGCTTAAAGATGGGTGAAGTGAGAAACATCTCATGGAGAGCTAACCTTGTGCAATCATTTGGGGTAAATTTATTGAATTTTTGATGACTGTAACAATGATTTGTAGTTATATAAACGTCTGTATTTGTTTGAAGTGAGTTTACGCAAGACACAGAAACAGTTAAAGAAGATGAGGTCGCTGAGAACTGCCAGTCCTGCATGTGCAAAGAAGTTAACATTGAGGAAGGAGATGATGATGATGATGACGATGAAGAGGAAGATGAAGATGAAGACTGGGACTGGGATGATGAAGTGGGAAGACTCATGAAGCACCACAATGCTGCTGGTGGATGCAATCCACAGGTATGTTGAAGGCTATTCTGTGAGCATCAAGGGTGCCCAAGAGCAAATGAGGCTAACCTGGAGGCTTTGTTTTTTGTTAGTATTATATTGAGCATAAACGCAAATGGAAATTTTTCCTCACGAGAATCCCCTTCTTTTGAGTCTGTTCCTTTGCTGTGCCACGTGTGTATCTACGTTGTAGCCAGACCTCCTTTTGATTTCCTTGTCTCTGTTGCTGGATTTTCTTTGTCACTGCAGTTTTCCTTGTGTTCCTTAGCTTTTTCAACCTTTCTTTGCCCACCCTGATCTCTACTGATGTTGCTTACTTTTTGGTATTTTTCCTCTCTTCCCCATCTTTTCTATTTAATTTTAAGACCTTATCTGGTTATCACACCCAGGTGAAATAGGTTTTGTTTTGGACTAGTAGTGAAGGAGGCAAAAGAAAGCATAGGAGAGGGAAGGGAGGTGCTAGAAGTGAATTCATTTAGAGTGTATGCTGTTGGCATGGAAACTCTGGTGTTGTGCAGAATGAAGAGCACACATGATGTGAGAACTAGCATCCTTCTTCCTCTCAGCTTGGACACTGGAGGCTCAAACCCTCATTTTTCTTATTGATACCAACATAACAGAATAGTTGAGGTAAATTAGAGTGGTGCATATTGTGTCTGACCCTCAGCGCTTGTCCTAGGTGATTTATTCTTGCCTGTAGTTAGAGGTTTATGCTGTCCAGAGGTGGTGAAATCATGTTCAGATATTAATTGTGTTTGGAGAAGACTATCAGTAAGAAAAGATAGCGTCTTGGAAACTTTTCTCTGTTCATTACCTTCTCATTTTTTTTCCTCTTGTTTTTTCTCCTTGTTTCTGTCTGCTATTTCCTTTCCTTCTACAGATAGAAAAAGTGGTAATATAAGAGACTTGCAGCTTAATTCCCAGACTAAAAATAACCCTGCGTTGGGGCAGTTTTGGGACTTTTAACTGATATGTCACCTGTATTTTCTTTTCTTGAATTAAGTAAAATCTGATGTTAATCCATATCTGTTTCTTCACCCTTTCTGGTTTTCTATTTATAGCTCTAGGCATAGGCATTTGAGTTGACTTTTCCAAGATAATTGTCTGTATTTCAAAGGGCTGCCTAGAGAAGGCAACTTACATTAAAAACATCCTTTGTTTCAGGCAAATAGACAGACCCCTAGTTGCTATTCAGCAAACATGTCTACCCCTACAGACAAGGCTTTAAGGAAGTTTGAACATAAAATTAATTTGGGTGAGTATAATTAGATCGTCTTCTCTTACGAAAACAGATACCGCTCTGTGATGTTCTCAGACTAATTCCACTTACTTTAAGCCAGAACTCACTGGAATGGCAGTTAACCATTGCCCGACAGATTAAAAAATGGCTTTTGTGTTCTTACTTGAAGTTGCCTTTAGTCTCCATTAACCATCTGTTGTACCCCTTGCTCTTACCCTTCAGAGCCATAGGGCTGTTTTGGGGTTTGGTAGGGTTTTGTTTTCTTGCCCTTGACTTCTCCAGACCACATAAAGTTAAAAATATTTCTTCCCTAGGTTCTTTGTAGGAGCAAGCTGTTTGGCTGGAGGGAGGGTATCGTCTCTCTGTTGTGATGTTGTTGGTCATTCTCAAAGCTGCTCCCACAGCTAAATTTTCTAGACAATTGCAGTCCCCTGTAGCATTAGGGTGGCGCGTTACGCATCAGTTATCTCACAGGGGTAGAGTTCTGTTAAGCAGAGAGGCTGCTGTCCTAGCCAGTGTAGTTTGATGTTTACCATGTGTATAGGGCTAGATGTAGCTGTCACTGGGGGCTTTTGACAGGGTAGTAAACAGTTGTGTTTTCCTTCATAACAAAGCAGTTCTGACATGAAGGTTCAAAAGAGTAGTGCTGGTATATGTAGCCTAATACAGAAGCTTTTGTACATTTAGCAATTAATTCAAACACCATTTTAAATACATCATGAGGAGAGAATCCCAAGTTTGTTGCTTTTTCTGTCCAGAAAAATGGCATTCAGTTGTGATAAGACAATGGTGGACAAATTGAATAGTGAGATGTTACCCAAAAGTCATTACCTCTGGATGGCATTACATCTCCAAGTCTGTGGGACTTCCTCGCTCATCTGTGTTGTTGCCTTATAGTCCTTAAAATGTAGACATAGTGGAGTGCTAGGTCAGTTCTGGTATGTAGCTAAGCTTCTGGGCTTATAAAGAGCTCCACCTGTGTTTGAATGTTGTGTTATGGCATATCAGCTGGCAGTAGAATTGCAGGGGCAATTCCAAATGCAGGAAACTTCTTTGATTTTTTTGGTGTGGGTTTTTTTTCTCATGTGTTTTTCAGATAAGCTGAATTTTGATGACTCTGTTATAAACCGAGTCACAGAAAAGTCTAGACAGAAAGAAGCAGACATGTGAGTATCATTCCTGGTTCTATTTTCATTTATATAATTGGAACCCAGAAGAGTAGTTCGTATTTCCTAGTGTGATCCTGAGTTTTGAATAAGTTTATTAGGAAAACCAAAATCTGTAAATAGTCCACATGCAGTTTCCTTTCTGGTTTTAAACTTCCTGGTTTCCACATAAGTTGTTTAAATCATTCTGAAGTTCTGATGCTTCTGTCACTGCTGCTGGTAGCATGTCTGATTGTTTTGGTATAGTAAGACAGAAGCGATGGGTGTCATTCCACAATATCTCTCATACTGTTTTTCTAAACAGAGGTCCTTAAGCATTTGGGCTAGAAAAAAATACTGGAGCCTTTAGAAGGTTTCATCTGATGATTTGGTGAGGAGAGGTACCTTTTAAAAAAACAAAAACCCAAAAAAACCCCCCAACTATTTGTTTTCTTAAGCCTGTGGCTTATAGCCCTAAGTTGTTAAGACAGAGATTGTTTTCTCCTGAGTGAGCATAATTCAGTGGGGGCAGGAAGGTGTCTGTAAAAGTGAAGGGCACTGATGTTTGTGGGTTTGTGTGGTGTTTTTTTTTTTTTTTTTTTT